TAGACTGCAGAAAGACAAACTCCCAGAACACAGCATAGGACAAAGTTTAGACGGCCTCCTTGTTGGCAATGACTTAGCCGTGACACCAAAGGCAATCCGTGGAGGAACTGATGAGGACATTTCATTAAAATTAAGAGTCTCTGCTCTGTGAGGGATACTTTCAAATAATGAAAAGACTGGGAGGAAATACTGGCAGAAGATGGCTCAGATAAAGGAACATCTCAGGGTAAGGTACCGTGACACAAGAGAAAGAACAGAGGGAATTCAAGGGGTCAACAGGAGAGCACAAACCACCTGCTTAGACAAATGAGCCTGAGACTGAATGGACAGCTCGACACACACAGCTTCGTGGGCAGGGGTGCTCTGGACATCGTTCTAGCTGGGGTCGGAAGCGTGAGAGTGCAGGCAAGATCCTGGGGATCAGAGAGACACTGGTTCTTCAGACCATATAGAGGTCAGGTGTGCAGGCCCCAGGCTGTGGGTGAGGGCAGCAGGTGTGAGCCCGGGAGTGCTCCCTGGGGGTGCGCGGGGCTCTGTGGCTTCTCCTGCGCTCCTTTCCATGAGGTGCAGAGAAGAAAAGGGAGGGATAATTCATGTTTAGCAACCAAGGCTCCTTTTTGTTTGATTTTTAGTGTTGGAGACAATGACTATTTTATGGATGACAATAATAGCCTTTTTGTAAATAGTGATGCACATTCTTAGAAGCCTTTCCGATCAGTGTCCACTTGCATAGCTTAAATCTGTCTGCGGTGCCCTTAGGCTTACCGTGATTCATGTAAAGAAATCCGATTGAAAATCAAGAGCCCTCATCTCCCCGTGGCGGACAGCGCTCCCCACTAATCCCTCATGGCCGGCTCTCCCGCATCCTGCGCCTCCCTGCAGCTTCTGGCCCGCAGTGGCTTCCCGCCTCTTCCTCCCTGGCCTCTTCCTATGACTCGTGTTCACCGCTCACAGCTGCTGCAGCCCAGCTTATCTCACTGGGTGAATTTTAATGCCAAGTTGTTTAGATACAATTTGAAGCTGCAAAGGAGATTCACAGCGCGGGCAGCATCAACTGGAGAAAGCCTAATTTGTGCTCACAGTTATGTAAAATTTAGTTCTTTCGTGCCTGTAAAACCGCCTGCACGCCGCTGCGACTGCACGTCCCCGGCCAGTCTGCACAGTGATTTCACGGGGCGCAGGATATCGGCCCTCTTTTTCTCACCTTTTCCCTGAGAGAGATCTGAATCCTTTGTGCTGTCAGAGAAACAAGGAAATCAGACTAGCCCAAAGCAGACAAATCGGACTCTCCTTCCGCACCAAGGCCCGTGTCCACAGGAGGGGACTGAGCCACGCTATTCTTCCGGGCGGAAAAAACGGACTCTGTTGGATTCCAAGCAGGTAGGTGTTCTCGCCGGCAGGAGTTCTGATCCACAAAATGATCACTGTGGCCGTTTCATAGTCCCTCCGACGGTGGCCCGCAGAGCAGCTTCAGGCCTGCAGCGCCGGGGTGGCTGCTCTCCCGGCCTGGGGTGGCCTCAGGCTGCGCTCACGCGTCCTGCCCGCGCTGACCTCCGCGAAGCCTGCAGGCGCCGGTCGGGCTTGGCAGACGCGACGCAAGCCATTTTAATGCTCTGAAATTCTGTTTTCTCAGCTATAAACCGGGAAGCCAGTGCCACCATCCTCCACGCAAGAAAGCCTGGGGTTAAAGTGAGAGTTGGTGGCTTTCCAACGGAGGCGGTTTTGAGCCTCCTGATAGTTAACAATGTCTAGAAATATGTTTGTTGACCATACCTGAAGGGCCGAGGAGTGCGGGATGGATTTATGAGCAGAGGCTGGGATGCGGCCGGCGTCCTACACCCGCGGACAGCCCTGCGGAATAAGGAGCAGCTGAACCCAAGCAGCCAATGATGATGTACGAAAAACCCAGGCAAGAAGGCCTATGTGAAAGAACTTTTAAGTTGAAATGACACTTGTTCAATGAATATTTATTGTATTTAAATCATTGTCTTGAGAACCAGATGGTGCATTTTTTTTTTAAATCTATTTATTTATTTCTTACAGGTCTTGATACGCAGCTCGGACTCGTGGTGATCCTGGATCACTCAACCTCCCTGGCACTGGGATTATAGGTGTGTGCCACCACACCCAGTTTCAGTGGCCAGCAGAGAATACATATCTGGGATCAAACCCAGGTCCTTGTGCTTGCCAGGCAGGTGCCCAGACAGCTGAGCTGTTGTTCTGGCCCCTGGTGCATTTAGTTTAAACTAAGAGGAGGCCCTTAAATTCAGCCAGCTTCAATCCCCACAGAAAAACTATTCATCTATGTAATATGCCCATGTTTTCAATACCACACTAGGCAGCGCGATTTGACTGAATCAGCTGTCAGCAATTAAAATGCATACACACTTGTAAGCACAAGAATCCCTCTTTTGTCCATCCATCCTATAGTCACTCAAGAACTAGTCATTGACTTTTCTCCCTTCGGTATTACTTATGATGGAACAGTTTATACAGATAATAAATGCTTCAGAATCAACAGGTAATAGCCACATCACATCAGCAGGAAAAGGGGTCGAGGGAAGCATCGATGCTGAGTCATTCCTCCTAATAACTCACACTGAAGCAGTTGGTGAGGTCCTTAAACTATGCCAGGCACTTCCAACTCATATGGGTTCATTTTGTCCTCATAAACAGCTTTTGAGGCACTTTCTCTATCTTACAAAGGCAGCTAATTAGTGACAAGGCTGGGATTTGGAACTCAAGTGCTAATTCAGGTCAGGAGCCCTCCTCCCCAAAAAGCCTGTGTGAGGAAGCTTTAGTCTTCATTGTAGCTGTAGAGGAAGGTGGTAGAAATCTTCAAGCAAGAGTAGTGTGAGGTTTGGGGTCACTGGAGCATGCTCTTGAAGGGATGAAGGGACGTCGGTGTCTGTCTCTGTCCCTTTAGACCTCCTGGTTGGGAGATGAGCAGCGGTGCACGCCTACGTACACCCCACCCAGCCCCTAAATGATGGCTCCAAATGGCCGTGTTCTGCAGCCTCAGAAGCAAGGCACCAAAGCTAGCCTGGCCTGTCTTGAGTTTGACTCAGGCATTGTGCTGGACTAAGTGAATGCTGGTCGGTGAGAGCTCGGCAAGGCAAGATCGGCTGGCTCTAAATGCCAGATGTTTTATCCTTAAGCATGTCCTTTATTCTTAAAGCTTTCTGAATGCACACCACCAAGCAAAGCTGCAGCTATGGAAAGTGTACAGTGCAGATGTGCTTAGGAGACCAAGTCAATTTAGGAAACTATTAAAACGAAATAGTGCCCCAACTGTGCCCTAAGATAGATGCTTGCATCCTGTTGTAGGCAGCCAAATTAGATAGAAATACTCTAGGCAGTCAGAGAGGGCTGGGCCCTGGAGGGAGCAAGTGCAGGAGGTGAGATGCCTTGCAACTGTGGGGGGCACAGGAGCCTCTGCTGAGGACCAGACCTCAAAACAAAAGACAAAAGGATGCACCCACATACTTCTGAGGATGAACATCCTGGACTGATGCTCCAAATAGGTCTCTATCACCTTGAGAAAGCCAGGAACAGCCACTAACCCACTCCCCTACAGGGAAAGCCCCAGTTCTGGATTCCTGCCCCCTTACTACATGACTCGTGCTTCCCCATCCTGAGTTATCAATTTCACCTGAGCTATTACACTCAGAATCTTACTGGCTGACCACAGCTTTGTCCCACCTCATGCCCACCTTGCAATTCCCCATTTTTCCCCATTGTGGACTAACCTTACCTCTTGGATTTTCTCTATAAAAACCCCTAGAAGAGGCAGGGTCCTTGGCAACCCACTCAGGCCCTCTGCTGTCTGTCTCTTGGACAGACGCTTTCTTTCCCCCAGTAGACATACTTTGGTCTTAATCCCCATTGTTCCTAAAATTCATTCTTTGATTTTAGGAACAACTCGTCCCAGACATCTAGCCGAGGGGCAGTTTCTTTCCTCTACATCAATCCCATCCACTCCCTGCTGTTAAGCTTGGGCACTTCCCAACAATGGAGCCCTTTGGTTTTGATCAACTTATTGAAATGGTCAAGTACCTCACTCTGTTGTTACCAAACACGCTGGTTGCATGTAACATCTCAGTAGCTTTCTGAAGGAGAAATAACCATTTTCCCTTTGCTCTTACAAGTTGAGCAAGATGGCCTACGGCCTGGTCCCAGCCGCAGGAAAGCTCAGGCCACGCTGAGAGCCGCCGCCGCTCCTCCAAGGGAAGGTGCGAAGTGCCGCGAACCTGCTGCCGCAGCGGCCTGGGCGGAGCAGCAGAGTGGGCAGCAGCCGCTGCTCTGCATTCCCGCGCCGCGCCTTCCCTCTGCCGAGTGCGCTGCATGTGAGGCAGACCCTGAACCCGGACGCAGCTTCGTTTTCACAGAAGCACACCCGCACTTCTCTCCTCTAGAATCCGACTTGCAGAAGCTTAACTTGGTGCTCAGGTCTGACAAAGCCGGGCCGCGCTTCCCAGCAGGCCAGCGCTGAGCACAGCTAAATCAGATCCTTTGCCTGTTCAAATGATTTAAGGAAGGTTATTCTTTCTTTCTACATTCTGGCTATAAAGTACATTTAAAATGAACTCTACTTTTTAAGAAAAGGAAAATCTGCTGAATGAACAGAAAATACTCAGATTTATTGGAGCACAAGAATCCCATTTTAACAATATTTATGCATGGCTTAGAGACCATGCCTTCAAAACATAGCCATGACCAGGAAGGAAGAAAGAAAGAGAGGAAGGAAGGCGGGAAGGAAGGAAGGAAGGAAGGAAGGAAGGAAGGAGGGAAGGAAGGAAGGAAGGGAAAGAAAGAAATAAGTGAGAGAAAGAGAAGAAGAAAAAGAAAGGAAGAAAGGAAGGAAGGAAGGAAGGAAGGAAGGAAGAAAGAAAGAAAGAAAGAAAGAAAGAAAGAAAGAAAGAAAGAAAGAAAGAAAGAAAGTAAGTTGCATGCACATCACAGAATTAGCCACTAAAACAGATTTTCATGTCTTCATGACCATGGTCTCTCCCCTGCCAGGTAAGTATTTTTCATTTCTTCAAATAGTGAGAATTTTCCTGAAAACTCACTTTATTTCCCTTAACGCCAACATAATTAATGAATGTGCATTTTATAATGTTGAAATAAAACTGTTCCCAAAGTATTAGCTTGAAACCATATATTGCAGTAGCTGTACAAATGTTTTGTGATTTAAAAGAATTTGCCTGAATGTGAAGAAACAGCTGAACTTGCTAAAGTCACTCACAGGATAAATTAAGATTTCTTCACTCAAGTCATAATCATAGGCAAAAAATTAATAAATGCACAGTATGATTCCTTGAAACACTTGAACATTTTTATATGAATCAGCCTCTCTTTTTCTTCATAATTCATGTATGGAATGCAAATATCACTTGTTCCCATTGAAAATGGAAGGGCCACAGATGTATAGCATTGAAGGAACCCCCAACGATGCACAATACCTGCTCTAGGCCTGCGATGTCCCACTCAGTGCAGCTCCTGTCCTATTAGATCAGACATGTGAGAAGGCTCTGTCTGCCTAAGAAGAAATTAGAACATTAAATTCAACAATTTTTATAAACTTAGAATTATTTTATTTTGAGGGATTTTCTTTTTTCTTTGTAACTTTTTAGTGGAAACATTCATTTTAAAATTTAACACTGATAACAACGGTGGAAGCTGTGCTCTTTGTTGT